GTTTTCTTTCTTTTCTTTTTTTTTTTTTTGCATTTTGTTTAAAAAGGCTGTCAGATGCAGCCTCCTCCTGTTTTTGTTGTGAAATTGCAATGTTCACAGTAATTAGAAGCTGTTTGTAGTTTTTATAATATTGCTGATTGATTTTTCTCCTGCTGTGACTTTTTTGCTTTTCACTTTTATACTAACCTGCTGTTTCTTCCATTTGAATAATAATGACTGATAGTGCGTAAGGTATTTTTTCAAGGTTAGTATTACACCTGATGTTTTGTCTTGTTGGCCATGTGGTTAAATTGCATCTTAAAGGATATAAATATTCTCTTTAGGTTTGATAAGGGTGTGAAAATGTAGCACCGTAGTTCTGAAACCACTCATGAGGGTACTTGGGCTAACTTTGGAAATACTCAGGATACATTTTTCACCAGCAGCATTATTTTCCAAATGAAAAATCGGTACTGAAAACGTCTGATAAAAAAAGTGTAGTGACAATGCGTGGTTTGTTCTGCTTATCTCCAAAGTTTGACTTGGATCTGGGAGCGACATGAAACCGAGCTTAACCTAGTTTTAGTTGTCAGTTTTAAAAATTATTGGAGTCCCCATTTGTAATGATCAGTGACCAGGTTTGTGTCTGTTAGCAGTACAGTAATGATGTATTCCTTTGTATTTGCAATTTACAACATTTTAGCAACATGTTCATGAAATGAAGTTGCAAGTGTGAGATATTATTATCGCCGAAAGTCATAAAAACACCAAACACTGTGTTGCTGCAATTATGACTGTAAATGTATGGAAGCCATTTTGGGTTTTTGGACTTGTTTCACATTTGAAATTTTGAATATTTTTACCATCCTGTGAATATTTCAAACAAGAAATTTTGAAAAAAAAAAACATGACTTCTAAATTAAAATGGATCAAACAGAGTCCTTCAATTAATGATGCTATTCCCAATGAATACCAACGCCTTCCTTTAAATAAGTGGGAAAATACCAAAATTAAATCATGAAAATTTACCATTCAATCACTATGGAATTATGGTAAGTTTCCTGCATCAAGACAACTAAATTATTCAACGTGTAAAGATAAAAACGTGTTTACCTTTGGCAGTCTGTATTTGTCCCTGAGACACACTCTCAGCGTTGCCCGCTCTGCCTTTTTGTGTAAGAAATCTGCATCCCTTTCCATCCTGAACAAATAAAGAAAAAAGAAAACAATCTCCAGTCTGTTTACTCTTGGTCACAAAAACACGTCACAAATTAGTTAATGTATCCCGAACATCGACAAGTTTTTTTCATTGACTTGCATAAAAGTTTGCGATTAACCTGTTAAACATATGGAGGAAATGTTAGTGCTGGAAATTTATGAAAACCTTATAGATTCAAAGGCCAGAGAGAGAATATGAAGTATCTCAGCAGCATTGCTTAGATACTTCATATTCTTCACCTTATTTCTTGGTTTCCTATAAAGAAAAAAAAATATAGGGAGGGTTTCTATGAACTTTTTAATTTGAGTTATGGTGAAGTAAAATAATTGCACATCTGCAGAACAAAACATTTAAATAATTGTCTTGCTGTTGTGGAGACTTGTTTTGATTATTTTTGATTCAGATTTATTAAATTTTTTTTAATCATTCAATTTCCTTCAGTAAAACAAATGTTTGATTCAAGTATCTGAAACCCTGAATATATTCCTGCATATTCAACAAAGCTCCTAGTGCACTTTGCCTCAGACATTTAAAGAGATTACCCATCCAGGCTTACCTAGAATTTAGTCAAAACATCCAAACAGGAGTGGTTTTCAAACGCCTCATCTTTCCAAGTCAGATGTAATTTAAAACCATTTTTACTCCGACTGTTTTAAAAGATAGTTCTCATTCATATTTTACTTTAAATGTTTATGATTTTTGTGTGTGTGTGTGTGTGTGTGTGTGTGTGTGTGTGTGTGTGTGTGTGTGTGTGTGTGTGTGGGGTGTGTGTGTGTGTGTGCGTGTGTGTGTGCGTGTGTGTGTTTGTGTGTGTGTGTGTGTGTGTGTGTGTGCGTGTGTGTGTTTGTGTGTGTGTGGGGGGGTGTGTGCACGTGTGTGTGTGTGTGAATGCTATAATTTAATATTATCTTTCAAGAACCAATAGACCCACAAACAAAATATATATAAAAAAAAAAGTATTGGTCAGTTTCTTTTGTGACCTTCAGAAATAAATGCCTCTTTCAAAAACTCATCTTTTCAATTGTTCAAAAACATAAAAGCTATTTTATTATGCTTTTTGTGTGTGTGTGTGTGCGTGTGTGTTACTAAAAGATGTGGACTTTGACAGTAAGGGAAAGGCATAAACACTGAATATAACACAATATAGAAGGTAATACGTCAAGGTCAGATTTTATTCTCTGCAGCCATTTTGTTCTCCACAGGCCAGTGGCAACTGCTCAAAGTGTAGCTTGCTCCATACTTACTTCTCCTCTACCAACTGTTTTTGGTACTCTTCATACTCCTCGCGCGTCATCCCAGCTGCTTTTGCAGGATCTGACGGAGTGGCCTCCTCCTCTTTGTCGCCTCCACCACCAAGACCTATTCCTGACAGGGGGTTCCCAATCATGCTCTTGATCAAAAAAGCCATCACGAGTTCTTCCCAGTGTTTACTCTCCAAGGAGGGGGATGTTTTCGTGGACTGAAAAAGTGAACGGTTCTCCTGGTGCTTCGCTTTCGCTTCCTGTAGGTTTCCAATCCAGTGGTAGCTCCCTGGCTAACCTCCTGCTTGCCTACAGAGTCAAGGACACACTGATGACAAGCAACAGACACATACATGCGCATGCAAACACACACACAGCCTGCCGTAATCTGGATTTAATCTCTTCTGCTTCACTATACTAAGAGGCAGATGGCCTGCTTTTTTAAATCTATTTTTAACTCATGGAGACCTTTATGGATGTTTTTCAAAAATTTATTTTTAAGGTTTGAAGCACTTTTTAGAAAAAAAAACTTTTACCAAAACACACAGAAGGCCTTAAGGCTCCATGGACAGGCTCTTTCAACCAAAACAGAGGCTGTGTACTTCCACCTACTGCTGCTTAATCATATTAGAGAAGTTCAGATCAGCCCATCTGCAGCTTACACTGCTGAGATCAAGCAGAGGGGAGGGAGGGCCAGGATTATACTGTATTCTTGTTTATCCCAATGAAGCCATCCTTCATGCACTGCTATTGTTGAATAGGAATGTGACTGGCTAAAGGTGTGAAATAGGGAGGAGTCATTCCATCATGGTCTTTCGTAGCTCTTTTTACAAACACAAACTACAAGTAGGGCAACAATCATCTCTCCTCTGGCATTAAACTTTTTTTTTCCAAGCATAATTTCAAGAACACAATGGCACAGCGGGATTCAGATGAAGATAATGTTGTGATTATCAAGTAGGAGTGTGAGCTCGTCTCCTGCTCAACCTAATACCTTCTCATTTAATTTCCACTAAAACGTCGCGATATGCCAACTTTTTTTCTTTCTAGCTGCATCCAAGTACACAGCAGCGCTTTTTGCTCCAGACAAAGAACTTCACTTTGTAGGTTCATACTCAGAGTCAGTGGTTTTATTAGGGTTTTAGAAAAAAATTACGATAATGTGATTATTGATGACGTATGGAACATGACTTGTTAGGGAATAAAAGCTGTATGGCCTACTGCTGAGGAGATGCCTGCAAACTGTGAGACAAAAAGGACAAAGAGTTTGTCTGACCGGACAGGCAGTCATACGACTTCATGCTGACCTGCCTTAAAACAATATGATCGTCACCTGAAGCGTTTTCCAATTCATCATGAAAATACTTGAATAAAAATTCTAAAGCTAATCATTCTTTTTCAGTCTGCCTAGAAACCCTGCAGTAATCAGAAAAGGATCCAATCGAAGCATTTTTTTTAAAGCTCAGTATTAGACTGCCTGATTAAAATGAACTATCATACCTGTCATACCTATGTTTAGTGAGCTGGAACTGCACAGATTTCTCTATCAGGGAGGAAGAGGAGCGGACAGCCTTCTTTATCAATGACTGTCCTGAGTTGCTATATGAAAACAACACATTCCCTGCAAGTTGAAATGTAAAGCGGCCGACTAGTTAGACGGTTAAGGAAACCCAGTAGAGGTGGTTCGATATGGACTTAGAGATTTTATCATGGTACTTTGCAGTAGCATTGTGATAATGTTTAACGTGACGATAAGAACTATTTGTTATATCTTAGCTAACAAATAATGCTCATTTGTAAAGTATGAAGAGGTGTGATTTTTTTGTGCTGCATTTTCAAATTTACTGTCAACTTTCACAGAACAATCAGTGGTCGTTAATACTGACAGCTTAGCGGGGCTTTAAACATTAATTGGAATTTATTGTGACAACAATCAACCTAAATCCTTATAACAAGGAGGTTATCATGATAAATAATGTAAGTGACCACCCTAACAACATACTGCTATATGTTCCAGATATCTTCAGAAACAAGTGACTAAGTTAAACTTTTAGGTGACATGCTGTAGGAACATTATAGCTCCTAAACCTTTCACCCAATCACCTCATCCTGCTATTCTGGGCTACTCAAGCCAAACATTTAGCAACTACACTTTAACATGTCCTAACACCTCTTATGCAAAATGTATCCGGCTCATCCATTGAGTGAAGGCATCCTAAATAAATGCCCAGGCAACTGACTTGTTAGATTAACTTATGGGGTTTAGCACAGCCCACATTTGGAGGCCTTAGTCCTCTATGCCGCCATCGTGGGTTCGATTCCCAGACCTGGCAACATTTTCTTCTCCTCTCTCCACGCCCTTTGTTCTGTCAGCCTACTTTCAAATAAGGGACTCTAGAGCCCACAAAAACCTCTGAAAAAGAAATATATATAAAAATGATTAACTTCTGAACCTCTCTTGTATCACTGAACTCATTAGAGCATTATTTACTGCAGATTAGTTGTGTTCTAATTGTCATTTTATAAAGACAAAAGCAAAAAAAAAAAAAAAGACAGCGGCAGGTTTTTAATGGTTTATGTAAATTGTTCAGGCAGATTCAGACATTTTTTTAAAGTTAACGAGAAGAGAAAAACTGAAGTGGATCCTTGATGTATGGGTCACTGAAAATCTGTAGCATTTTATACAAAAATACGCACAATGTACACTTTTAGACACAGGTTGTCTTTTCTCTCTTTTTTTTTTCTTTTTAACTGTTGGTTAAGTTTTATGAAGTCAGGCCACGGCAGACCCCAGATTTCAGAAAAAACTAAATCTAAAGCTCTGAGTGAACAGAAATACTGAAAGCACCATGTTGCATCATGGTGAAAAGACTCACACCGTCACTCACACACAATTGGCGGATCAAATTAAAAATGTTCTAATAATTAAAACAAAGTCTCACTAAACAAAATCAGTTTCCACATACAATAACTTACAATCCAAAAATGATTTGACCAAAAAAAAAAACAAAACAAAACAAAAAAAACCAGACATTTCTTCGTGCATACTTTTGTTCTAGAAACCAACGTCATCAAAAGAACTTCTTGGCTGCTGCTTCTTGTTGACTTCTGCAATGAGGACAGAAACAAATGGGTGTTTTTAAAAGTCATACCGACATGTTTGACAAATCAATCCCAGAGTTACTCACTTGTACATGATGTAGCAGAAGAATAAGACCGTCTGGATGACAACAAATATTGCAAAATGAACAGTGGATAAGCAGGAAGGCATGGGAGGCAGCTCAGGGCACTTTACAACCTTATCTCCTGGATTCTGCAAGTAAAAAAAAGATCAATTTACCGTGAAACTGTCATTACAAGCCATTTATATTCTGAAATAAACTCAGTAATGTAACGAAACACAACCCTAACAGACTATTTCTTAATCCAGAGCTGCTTCAGAATTTCAAAGCTTAGAGAAATACCTGAACATTGCGCTGCACCAGGTGCTCCACGTCTCTTTTCACTGTGTGAAGATTCTCTTTGATGTCATTGAAGTGTTGAATGGTCTCGTATGTCCCCACTCCGCCGGCATTACCCTGGTGCTGGACTGAACCGATCTGCTTCAGAGACTCATGGAAGGAGCTTCTGTAGAGAAGAAAAATAAAAAGCAACAGACATGTTATAGAGATGCCGAACTGCTGGGTTAAACCATCTAAGTTTCTCCCAAAGGACTGAAAGAGACCAAGAAAAGGACACTTGGTGAGATGTGAATATGCTGTGTGGTTTTGTTTAATTTCAGATAAAAAAAGGGTCTACAATTAATCCTTTAATCCCCATTCACTGCTCCTTACATATTCTCAAAGTTCAAAAACAGAAAATTACCATCTGATAAAAGAGGTCATTTTTGCCAAATTAATCCCCTCATAAAATATGTTCTTACAACAGATTACAAGCAAAGAGGGTTAAGAAACAGAGCAGAAACTATCTGGATTATCTCTAATGTTTAACAGGCCAGCCATGATACTGGACATCAAATTGAAATGTGGATTTTTTAAGGCCAAAACAAGAAAAATAAATATTTTATCAATTGTATTCACTGGATTTGCCTACAGTGATTTTTTTTTTGACTATATAAAAAGTTGACTAAATTGTTAAAGAATATATGAAACAATATTGGTCAAGGAAATTCTCAGTATTTCAATATTGCTTTGACAAAGATTCTTATAAATGTTCATCTTAAGGCAAAGTTACCCAAAAATATAAAAAGAAATGCTTAAATTTCAACATTGGTTTTAACGAGTATAATAATAGGAAAAAAAAAAAAAAAACACCTGTAAGCTAAAGGTTTACTGACAAATTGTACGTTTAGTTCTGCCAACGATAGCCTTTATATGATTCTTACCCCCATGATAGGACACAGAACAATGATTATCAATGCATACAGTTGCAATTCCTTACTGATTAAAAAAGAGGCTGTAAATCTGCACTTTCACATTCAATTTCCTCCGAACAGCAAGTTTAAATAGAATACGGCATTCTTAGAAAAAAGTCTAAGCCTGGATCACATTTCTCGGCAAATTGTCGTTTCTTAAACTTGATTATGAACATGGAGAAAGCAATAAGTTTCCCTTATCATCTTAAAACATGTCTAAGGCGATTACGAAGGAAAAAGTGCGCTGACAAATCAGCAGAATTTCCAGCGGCGTAAGTACGAAGGCCCTGGGGGAGGATTGCCGCGACAAAATCAATTTGAGGGGAAACCATGTTTTGCTTGTGTATGACAGATGTATTTAAAGACCACTAATCTGATAAGGACAAAACAGTGCTAAGATGTGGCCTTTTCTTGCTGAGCCACATGGCCGAGGTTTGAGACGGGGATGACATATAAACAAAATCTAATTTGTGTCACCATAAATGGGAAAAAAAAAACACACTTAAGAAAGTAAATGAGCATTTATTAAACCCTGCATATAATCTTCATCTCCTACGACTGACCTATATATGAGCAGAAAGCCCTCTTTGTGATCAGACTTCATCTCTAAATATACAAACTGTGTTTAAATGACAGAGCAGGATAAACTGAGAACTTAATCTACAAAGTAATACAGATCAGCCGCTCATATTAGCACATTAGAGGGGGGCAGCTGCAGCCTTTTGCCAGTGTCTGAACTTATTTATCCTAAAGAATACTAATACATGGAAGGATTGAAAATATTCGATGTTTGCTGTCTTATCTATTTGACACTGATTTATGTAAAAAGCATGTAAGGTCACATTTAGAACAGACATAAATCAGAGTCAAGCCAAGTGCAAGTTATTCAACTTATTATAGCAAATTATCAATCATATAATAATTGTACTTTTTTTTTATTCATTCTTTATGCAGATCATGCATAGAGATAAACAAAAAAAAAAAACACTTGGCGAGGTTTGCTCTTCACAAAGAAAAGCTTAATACTTTATAAATGCCATTGCTATGTCAATCTTCATGGTACATGAAAAATATGGATACATTTTATACACTAACCCAAAAGTTGCTTTTATAAAATAGTTCATGTTACGCCTGAAATAAAATATAATGTAAAAATGTAATTATAATAAAAAATAAACAGAAAACACTACAATAAGATGTACTTTTTCTATCCTATATATCAATATCTACATCTATACAAATGGAAAATGGGAAAGCTTGTTATCCAGCAGTGATGGAATTTATTGCATTATTTACTCAAGTTAAAAAGGAAAATAAAACATAAATTGGGCATAAATAGTTTGATTTAACTTTTAAGGAATAATTATGAAAAATGTTACTAAAAATATAAACTAGTCAAAGTCTTTACCTCTTTTATAAACACTGCGAAAATTATGCTAACAAATAAAAAAAAAAATACTGTAAATTTTTCAGGTGTAATGATTAAAAGCTTAAAACTTCAAGATAAAACAACCCAAGATAGTTGAAAAAACATAATTTCCTTATAATCTGTGAAGCTGAATACAAAACCATACATTGTCCAACACTGGGATTGAAAAGGTATATGCATATATTTGATTAATCTGCTGCAACAAAATCCTAATATCAACAGCTCATATGCTCTTAACAGCTAAAGTGACTATGTGTACACCTAAGCAGTTTTACTTACTGTAAGAACTGAAACCATCCCATCATTTTTAGGTTTTGTCATGATGGTTTTGTCTTAAGCTGTATTATCGTAAGATCAAATTCTGTATACTTTCTCATTTTCACTTGGAAACCATTTCAGGTTAAAAAGCAATAATAAAAAATAAGGAGATTACAGCTACAATATTACTACATCTATCATGCCGTAAATATTTTTATTTTAATCCAGGTAGTTTTTTAAAAATGTTTTCAAATGTAATTTAATCAGTCATATTACTTGCTAATCATTGATTAGTGATTAGGAAATCACTAATTGTATATCTGAGCAAGTAAAGGTCATGTGTGGGGTTCCTCAAGGCTCCACATTTGGGCTGCTTTAATTCAACTTAACAGCCAACATCTCTCACAATACGATGACATAAAACTTAATATTTCTGTCACCACTTTACTACAGTACACTACAGTCACTGAGGCAAAGGTGGTAGGAATTCATCCTGCATCCAGCGGGTTGCTCATTACAAAAACAAACCAACACTTTTTGAATTCCTCCATAAAATATGAGTAATATACATAAAAAAGACATGAACATAAGTGGAAGATGCGTGATGATTATTCTCTATCCGCACTCTATCCGCAGCCATGTGCATTGAGAGAGCAGCACAGACTCATAAGGTGGTGGTAGAGACGGGGGGGTGAGGAAGGATAGGCGACTGTGAAAGAAGCTGTTACAGCAGCTGGATTATCAGGCTGACCAGCACCTGTGATTTTACAGCCATGCTGAGATTAAATATGATTTAGGAGATTTATCCAGCAGGATTTGCCTTGTTTTTCTCGGGTATCATGGATGTATCTTTATGTTCGTTGCAAAAAAACAACCAGTTTTTAAGAATGAGTACTGTAGTGCTGGTGCTCACCTCAGTTCGTTCAGGTTTCTGAGAAGCTCCTGCTGCGTGGAGATAACGGAGCTGAGCTGTTGACTCGCAGAATCAAGCTGAGAGAGAAATACAGACTAATTCTCTGGGGGATAAATACTCTTGTGTTGATGTTTGACAAAACAGTTGACTAAACATCATAGTGTTTAGTGTGTAGCTCAAAATTATTCATACCTCTGGCACATTTAGTTTTTCAATTATTTTCATTCAACTAAGAAGTTTGTTTCTGATAGGAAATCAGTGATGCATCCCTCAAAAAGAAAACAGTAAAACAAGTAAAATAATTTCTCTCTTTTTGTTTCCACTTGAAAATAATTGAGACCCTTCTCAATAATTAACAAAGCAATCATTAAGCGAATAAATTGAAAAACGCAGCAGTTTACAGTTAGCGGGCTTTTTTTCCTTTTTCCAACCTCAACATATTGAAGTCAGTCAAATATATAGTTAGTAACACAGAACACCACTCGAGGTAAGACTGTGTGGAACCCCGGGTAAGTTTAGTTCGTATTCAGTGTAAATCCAAACGTCGATGCTTGTAGGCTCACCTGTCCCGACCCAGCACTTGTCCCCTTCTTGGAAATCTCGTCTGTGATAACTGAAACATATCTGCGCTGCTCATCCAGAATCATGGCGAGCTGCCGGTTGATCTGCTTAATTTCCATATGGATCCGGTTCTGGCCCTCAAACACCTGACGAATCTCGCGGTCGTTCACACTTTCGTACAAATCGTCGACTGAAACGCACACAAATGGCCAACAAGAGTCAAAGGTGAATCACTAAAGTTTTTCTCCATGCACTGAGAACGCTATGCATGTTCTGGTTTTATATATAAAATAGAACTTTCAAAGATGATAGAAAACTAACTTGGCTCTCCTTGGACGTTTGGGTGTTCCTTTTGAAACTCTTCCTTCTTTTTATCAAGCTCTTGCTGAAAGTTCTGAAATTCCTCTTGGTACTTGTCTTTCTCCTCTTTAGAAATCTCAGAGTCAACAGAGGGCTTCAGTGAGAATCACATGCAAAAGAAAAGCAAAACAAAGGAAGAAAGAAACAGTGGGATTGGTAATGTGGTAAATGACAACTGGAAAACAAGTAGTTAAAGATTAAAAGAACTGGGATTACCGGTTGTTGGCCTGGTTCAGTGAGTCTGAATAACAAGAATGACAAAACATCGTGGTCGTCTGACAGAGGTAAAAAAAATAATTAGGAAGATCACAATTATAATAAAGTACATATTTAGCAACAGTAGTCTGTAATAATAAAATAATTATATAGATAATTTTTGTAAATTAGCTGAAATCTTAATTTAAAGTACAGAAATACAAAGAAACTGTTGAAAACAAGATTTGTGATTAACTGAAAAGTAAAGAAATGGTTATATAAGCACAGCATATGATTTGAATAAAAAAAAATACATGTATTGTACAGGTATTTCGGGCAGGGATTCAGGGAACAGAGTACTACCTGCTAAACCACCAGTGGCGGCTGAGATGCCAAAGAAGCCTTCAGTCGGAATAACCATGTTTTCAATCTTTGTGCAGAACTCATAGTCCTCTTTGTCTGGAGTGAATCCATTGTTGATCAAAATCTAAGAAGGAAGATAAAAAAATTTAAAAAATCAAGCAATTTGGTAGAAAATAAATAGTCTTTAAATTCAGACATTCACAGCTTTAAAATGTTTGATTCCTGTTCTTTCTCCTACCGTCAGCGTCTTCCTGTAATATGTTATTTTGGCTCTGATCGGATACGGTTTGTTTCGGAAGTCTCTCAGACACGTTCCAAGGGCCTGTGTGGTGCCATCACTGAATGAAAACAAAATGTAAACAATTTAAAACCAAACACAGAAATGCTACACAAATATTTTTTTTTTTATGATGAGGAACAATCCAATACAAACTTTACAAGATAAATGACTAACATTAATGTTTTCGTAAACACTGTTGACTCCAAGAGAAACTGGAATGGCACAGAAAAAGTGATTTAAAGCTTTCACTTGCCCAAGGCAGATTAGAAAAGATAGAGGATTATTTACTTTCAAGCAAACATAATCATATTTTCTAATCTTCTTTAAGTTGCTGAAATTTGAGTTAGTGATGTCACCCGAGGGAAGCAGGAAGAAATGTTTACTTACTTTTGATGGTCGTAAACAAGATTGCCATTGTTCCCGACGACGAGTATGGCCGGGTTATTTTTCTAGGATTGCGAAGCAAAAAAATACAGAAAACATGTTAATCCTTTTGTGATCTGATGAGCAAAAGTGGCTTAGTTTGTAGGTAATCTTATTTACAACATATATTCTATACCTGCTCACTAACAATAAATATTTTTTTAAACTATTTTTCAAAGCAATTTTAAATTTTCAATAGACAAAGCCCCAAATTTAATGAATATATTTATAAGGAATAACATCTCTTCTGTCACAGACACAATTTGATCAACTTTATCCCACCTAAAAACAATCCTCAAGTTTTGCATTTTAATTGTGAATTATTATTGGCAATATAAAGATGACATAAACCTTTCCATCGTTGTCAAACGAGTCAAAGAAAATTCCGATTCCATTCCACGTGTCAGCAGCACCGTACACTGGGCCGTCGAGGCCTTGCTCGCTGGTGAACCACACAGCCTGGAAGAAAAAACAAAGTAAGAAGTTAAATCTTTAATCTTGCTTAAGGCAAATTGACAACAGGAGCATTTTATTTAGTCCTTTGTCAACTGTGGGAACTTGTTGGATAAGTCTATACTTCTCCAAATCTTGTCTCAGTTCATAAACATAGAGCTCAGATAATAACAGTCTAATGACTAGGAAAAACAATCAAATGCATTATTTTTATCTTAAAGTTTTATTGAGACAGGCGATTCAGGCCGAGGTCTTCCATTTTACATTAAAAACTTTATTGTCCTGTAATGACTCGACCACCATATAAGTGAGCCTGGACACATGGTAATTAAAAAGTTGACATTTATTCGAGTCCACTGCAACATAAATGTTGGGACAAAGATAAAGTTGTGATTTATAATGCAACTCTTGATTAATCGACACAGCTTGACCAAAATTAGACTGTAGAGACATCTAAAGGATGAAACAGGATAAACTATTTATTCACCTTCTCGGTGAGAAAATAGAGTATGCAGAGTATGACTCAGCATTTCCTTCTAACCTACTGCTAGCTAGTGAAAATACTCTTTCTCAAAAATACTTCTGGGAAAAAGAAGTTCGTCTTTGCTTCTCTATCAGGAGTGATTTGTGCAGTTGAACTATGTCAGAACTAATTTACTTGTTCAGGTTGTTTTGTGTAATAATTAGACACCATGACTCTTCCGTTTCTCTGGGGAGGACATGCCTTTGAAAACCAGAATCACAAGCTTAAACCACATAACAGGCTAGGTGGAGTCACAAACGTGCTGTCGTGTTGGGTAAGAAAACAAATGAACGCAGAAGGGAAAAAATAAACAAAATATGATGCTACTGCACTTTGGAAAGGCATGAATATATGAACCTCCCACATCTAGAGATTCTTGGATGACTTAATGAATCAAAAGTTGTTAGAAACTTATTTAGCTAAAGAGCGATGATGAGGGAAAGTGTCCATAGCACACATAATACACACACCTGCAGCATTTGCAGATAAAGACAGCCAAGAAAAAAAAATATATTATCAATGCAGCAGCTTAAAATCATATTATAACATCCTCCTAGTGCATTCCAAAGGGAAACATAGAGATGCAGTCTACATCTTTTTCTGCCCTGGTTTATGACTTCTCTCTTCTCTTCAGGCTTTCTGTAGTTCTGGAAACTGAGCACTTCATGGAGAAACATTGATTCTGTGTCTGATAAAATATCTTAGTTGCTGAAGTGTTATGACAACCCAGTTTAAGTTTACCATATTTTTATTTACACTGCCTGGAACAGGAAGTCTGATTTAAGATGACTATTTATTTTATTTTATTTTTTTTACAATTCCAGTAACTTACTGATCTTTTAAATCAAATTCTGCTTAATTAAGCTTATTGTTTAGGACTTTGCATCATAAAAGATGCATTCTCATCTGGAAAAAATTAAAATAAATAAATCACCACAATCTTTCCACGGAATAAACTCGGCTGCCTTGTCTGAAAAGAATTAAAACTGCTTACCAAACCATCCGCTCCCATCCTGCCTCTTCCTGATACTCTGAAGGTCACCTCAGCCTCCCAGTTCTCAAAGTGGACTTTATTTTTTGTCCACACAGAGCCCCTTTGACTTCTGAGGGACGGGGTAATCCGCACCTGGTCTGCACTTGGAATAGCATCTGAAATCACAACAAGAGAAAGTGAGTGCTGAAATGTGGATAACGTGCTTTGTAAGCAGTGGAGTACCACAAGGCTCACAATTGGTGTTCCTTCTAAACATAATCTACCCTCAACCATAAGGCAATGTTTTCAGAAAATATTGTACTAATTTACATTTTGATACCCAGATTTATTTTTTTATGAATAGAAACAATTCTACACTCCAAATTTCCATCTGTTCTTTATTATAGTAATTGTCTTTTTTTTTAACTTGACAAACTCCTTATAAACTTCAACTGATCCCAAGCAATGCTGGCTATATCTCCAGGTTCCCTTCATGTAGTAGATCACCCCTATCCTTGAATCTTTGGACACTGATACGGCAAAGTCTCTACCTACAGTCAAGTCGCATCTAAAAACTTTTTCAATACATACATCATCAGCATTACAAGTGCTTCAATCTAAAAGTTGAATTTTGACCTGTCAACCTCATGTTAGAGGGTGAATCTCTTGCAGTTCTGTTTGAAAACTAGCTTGTGTCATTTGTCACTCTAACTTGACCCTTGGAGTCAGGACACGTGTTGAGTTTGTGCTTTGCAAATGTTACAGATGAGGGAATATAATTTAAAAGTCTAGCTTTATACAAAATTGACTTGTAGTCTTTATGATGTAAATAGTAAGTGTACTGTTTTAAACTAAAATGATAATAATGCATTCATTTATTTATTATTTTTTTGTTTACCCTTAAGTAGAGCTGGCTTAGTGGGAAGGAAGTGTGACCCCCCTGCAGATCATTTCAGCAACTGGACAACTCAGTGTGTTGCAATTTTCCCAGACAGGAAAGGAAGACAGCAGCTTTTCCTGTCTGCAGACGCTGTGGCATCAGCCAGGTCCTTTGACAAATATTAAACATTTTGCAGCGATTCATCGGACTTGTGGACAGGAAGCTAGTGCGCTAGGATTCATTCAAGCATTTGTTTTTCTGATGCAGGTTGAGCAAAGCAGCATCGCCTTGAACACCCCGACCGGAAACCGACGCAAGCAAGACAGTCTCGGCTCTCATCCGCTCTTAAGGAAATATGTTTCTTATCGGCTTGTTCTGTGATGTTGACAGCTGGATACAAACTTACTTCCACTGTGAATCCAAAACGGGATGCCGCCGTCGGACTGAGACAGGTGCGGTCCTTTGAAGCTGTACTTGTACTCAAAGCGGCGGTGAGGAGGCTCCTCCGGAGTCGAACCTTCCGCAGCGACGTTTGCGAGGCTGCGGTGAAATACTGACGCTGCGAGAAAACTTAATATGAACACTGGAGCGTTGGACACCGCCATGTTTCTGTCTCACTGCTGACGTAGCGCTCAGTCCGACAGCATGACGGGATGCCTGTAGGGCCAACAGGGCGTTTTCTCATTGGTCGGTTTTCTGCACCTTTTTTCTCATTTCTCCTCCCTTCCTTCCACTCTCCTTCTCTGAGTCTAAGTACGACTCAGCGGTGGGAATTCAATTCTCCTGTCTGAGATTCGAATCATTTGGCTCAGTTTTAACAAAAAAAAAAAAAAAAACGAAAGAGATAACCGGTGTCCTGACTATCAGTCGGTGAAGTTGAACCGTAAGAGTTATGCTTAGCGCAACAATGAAACAATTTATATACATGACAAAAACACAGAAATAGCCCTCATCTCATCAGAATGTCCTATGTTTTCAACTACGGAGCCCCATAGGGGACATGGGGAATTTTGTTTTCTTTTGCGTTCCCTTCCAAAACTTTTGCGTTCCCTCGCAGTACTGTACTGGTCAGTTATGCGGCATGATTGAATACTGCGTTCACGTCAAACGCGTATTGACGTGTTTGACGTCCAGAACGCGTCTGACGCTCCAAGTTCGGCACGTGTGCACTTTTGGTGCATTCACACCAAAACCGTTTTGAGCGTCAGGCGCATCTGGTTTACAGTCAAACTGCATCTGTGGAGATGCGTGAAGGGCCAACGCGTCGCACGCGCCACATAGACTTTGAATGCCCTTCGCTCTTTAACAAACTCACTGAAAACCTGAGATGTGACGTTTACTCCTTTAATACAAGGGTGGAAGTGTGCGTGTGTGTGTGTGTGTGTGTGTGTGTGTGGGGGTGTGTGGGGTGGGTGTGTAGGTGTGCGTGTGGGGGGTGAGGGGGGTGTGTGTGTGTGTGTGTGCGCGGGTGTGTGTGTGTGTGTGTGTGGGGGGGGTTTAGAAGTTTTACTACTTCATGTAATATTTGCTCGACAACTGCAATGCAATATGTAAATGTATTAATGCATTTACATCTGTAAGTCATTTATTTTTTCTTTTTAGTCATTTTTAATTTCGCTTTTCTTTTTGCAAGTTTGGACTGATCTGTAATATATATATATATATATATATATATATATATATATATATATATATATATATATATATATATATATATATATATATATATATATATGGAGGCTGTGGAAAACCACCTTGAAGCCAACTGCAAACCACTTGCACAAGTGTCCATCAAATGTGGCCTATACCAAGGAGATGCTCTGTCCCCGCTACTGTTCTGCATAGGCCTGAACCCCCTCAGCCAAGTTATCAACAAGACTGGCTATGGATACCGACTCAAAAATGGGGCCAACATCAGTCACCTCCTCTACATGGATGACATCAAGCTGTATGCCAAGAGTGAGCGAGACATCGACTCACTGATCCACACCACCAGGATCTACAGCACTGACATTGGGATGTCATTCGGACTAGAGAAGTGTGGTCGGCTTGATCACAAAGAGGGGGAAGGTGATCCCCACAGAAGGAGTCTCACTCCCACAAGGAACAATAGCAGACATAGAGGACAGTTACAAGTACCTAGGTATACCACAAGCAAATGGCAACCTCGATGAGGCCACAAGGAAAGGAGCCACAGCTAAATACCTCCAACGAATAAGGCAAGTCCTGAGAAGCCAGCTCAATGGCAAGAACAAAATCTGTGCGATAAACAGCTATGCCCTGCCAGTAATCAGATACCCTGCTGGAATAATCAGCTGGCCAAAGGAGGAGATAAAAGCCACAGATATTAAGACTAGAAAGCTACTAACCATGCATGGAGGGTTCCATCCCAAATCCAGCACCCTGAGACTGTACACGAGCCGCAAGGACGGAGGCAGAGGACTAGTGAGTGTGAGAACCACTGTCCAGGACGAAACAACTAAGATCCATAAATACATCAGGGACAAAGCCTCAACAGACAATGTGCTCAGCGAATGTCTCAGACAACAGGGAACGGAGGTTGAGGTGCCAGAGATACCATCATGGGAGGACAAGCCCCTACATGGGATGTACCACCAGCAAATAACCCAAGTGGCTGATATCAGTAAATCCTACCAATGGCTGGAAAAAGCTGGACTCAAGACAGCACAGAGGCCCTCATCCTGGCCGCCCAGGAACAGGCCCTAAACACCAGAGCAATAGAGGCCCAGATCTACCACACCAGACAAGACCCAAGGTGTAGGTTGTGCAAGGAGGCCCCTGAGACAGTCCAGCACATCACAGCAGGGTGCAAGATACTGGCAGGGAAAGCGTACATGGAGCGACATAACCAAGTGGCAGGAATAGTGTACAGAAACATCTGTGCAGAATATGGACTGGAAACCCCGAGATCAAAGTGGGAAACACCCCCAAAGGTGGTGGAGAACGCCAGAGCTAAGATCCTGTGGGACTTCCAGATCCAGACAGACAAAATGGTAATGGCGAACCAACCAGACATTGTCGTAGTGGATAAACATCAGAGGAAAGCCGTTGTGGTAGATGTAGCAATACCAAGTGATTGCAACATCAGGAAAAAGGAGCACGAGAAACTGGAGAAATACCAGGGCCTCAGGGAAGAACTGGAGAGGGCCTGGAAGGTGAAGACCACAGTGGTGCCTGTGGTCATCGGGGCCCTCGGGGCAGTAACCCCCAAACTGGAGCAGTGGCTACAACAGATCCCAGGAACAACATCAGACATCTCAGTCCAGAAATGTGCAGTCCTTGGCACAGCCAAGATACTGCGCAGAACCCTCAAGCTCCCAGGCCTTTGGTAGAGGACCCGAGCTCAGAGGATAAGAACCCCGCGGTGGGTGAGAAGGGAATTTTTATTTTTTTATATATATATATAAAAAAACACATGGTAATATATCACAAAGCATTCAAAATTTAAAATAGCTCATTTTAGCATTATGGTATATGCTAAATGTGCCAATTAAATATTGGAAGTACTTTTTCTTCTTTATAATCAAAACCATGTTGTGCAATGTACCAAGAAAACTACTCGCAGCGAGATGTTGTTACCATGCTTGACTGTTACCACTTGTATTCATCAGCGCAAAGGCCATGACTCCTACATGTTCCCCCCAGAAAGCCTTTGGTTTGACCAAGAGTAACTCCGAATCTGGGTCCATGTGGAAGGTATAGACAAGGAGCTTGTTACTCATTCCAGAGTCTTTCACTCTGCGGTAATTTAAAATTGGCTGCGTAATTGATGGCAACACCAGTATTCTAGCATTTTCTGCCTCTTAAACAACCCAAACATTTTTTTTTCCAGACAGTTTGGGGGAGATAATTGAACCCCTCACCTATTGGTGTTCCAAAATGCTAATAGTTACGAACACATAAAACCAGTTTTAGAGTGAACAAAGGAGGCTATTAGTGAGCTGCCTAAACAGCCTAGACCTTAAATTAGAAATTAAGAATGTGCACACTAAGTTTAAATGTTATTGTAGGTAACTGCGTTTCGATTAGCAATGCTTTATTTATATCCTGTGAACCAAATTCTCAAAATCAACTTGGCTTTTTGTGGAGAACAAGAGGAAACTTCTCACCTGGAGTTTGCAACTGCAGATTATAAAGTTAGTACATAAACAAACAAATAAGTAAAGGCCTGAGTGGCATTTAATTTTAAAAAACATTTCTCTGAGAATTTCCATGTTATTACAATTAAATCATTGTAAATGTTTAGTAAAACAATATGGCACAATTTCTGTACCTAGGTGCATTTTCCTAAAATTGCTGGAACATAAAAACTTTATCACTGCAATGTAATATTGCAAATGCAGGATAATCTCATAAAGCTAGCATAGAGGTGTGTAGCAATTTGTTGCCCGTGTTGCAACGTTTTAACAAGCTAATCAAGTACCTGTTAATAACTTATTCCACAACGACACATTTGTCATGCATGCAGACGTGGATTCATAATGTTCAAAAAGTCCTATTTCTCTCTGAAACTTTGCAATAATTAGACTTGTTCCTTTTGCATATTGGCTAAGTTTTGTGTCTTGTGAAGGCGTGCTCCTCCTTCTTATCCTTGTTTACGCTAAGTTATCAGGATGACTAAAATCCCTGTGTCAAAAAACATGGCAACATTTTCACAGGAAATGTATTGAAACCAGACAGAGAACAGCCCTCTCTGACCTGAAACTCCACACTACTTATGAGTTGCAACAGCAGAGTTATGGTCAACAGCAGAGTTATGGTCCTCACTAAGTTGCACTTCCTCATAGGAAGATCAGAGAGCAGCTGATCAGTTCAGGGAACATGTGCAGCAGAGCGGTCCAATTGGCCAAATCAAAAACAGTGGGGATGTAAATGGTAGCTTTCTGTTGTTTAGAAGCTCAGCATAAAACAATTGGAATAATTTTCTTAGATTGGTCACTTGTGATAATAAATAAAGTGGGAGCAATAATAAATTGACAGTTTTCTTTTTTTTTTGAAGATTATAAAATGTTTTTAAACATTTGATAATCAAAAATAACTTAGGGAAAATTTAACAATCTTAGATATGCTCACACTGAGCCGGGTATTCCTGGGGGTTTATTGCTGTCAAGATGGGGATGATTTTCTCTATTGAGATAAGAGATTGGAGTAAAGTCAATACCTCAATGCTATCAATCAGCCTTCCTTAGCTTTAGCGTGGTTTACCATTTGAAATTACAGGATCAGCTGACCTCTATTGAATAGTACCGTGCTTGACTGTTTGTACTTCAATATTTGACCTGGCTACATAAACATGAATTGGATCGATTTGAATTGAACCTGTTCATCTCGCAAAGTACCTTGAAATTAGAGCTGCTATAATTCGATGCCGGTTTAAATGGTAGCGAGTCCATCTTTCTCTTTACTGCCAGTTCTGCCAGCCACTTAAAGTTACGGATTGCACAGTTGGTCGCCTGGCTGCAAGAGTTTTCGCTGCAGTCTGAATGCCTCAGTGTGAAGTAGAGAAAATACAATTATGTGCTTCTCATTTTCCATCGACTACAACCAGCTTCCTCCTGCTTCATCTCCAGAAGAGTCCCACTGATTACGAGTTCAGAAAAAAAGCACAAAAAACAAACAAACAAAAGCAAACGAGCTACTGTGACACTAATCTGGTAATTTGGACTCCTTTGGCAAATGGT